AAGTTCAAGGTGTTCGCTATGTATGTTACAGATAAATATATAATGCTTGTCAACTGAATTTGGTCTAAGAAGAAGCTATATTCCATATCTCAAAATCTTCAACAAAATGAGGATGTAAATTGGGCCAAACTTGTTCTGGATCAACTTGTAGAAGGCATACAGAAAGTAAAAATAAAATCGGGAGTTGGGATCGATGGTTGCTAACTTTTATCATGGTGCACACATTTATGAATAAACTACATTAACTTCTTTTTGTTCCTTTTCATCTATGACTGTTTGTATAGGAAAGCATAATGGAGTCTTAGACAATACGTCATTTTTTGTGTTGCTATTCCGGTCTTCCATGTAAACCATTTTTCTATAGAGAGAGATGCACATACAGCACAGATATTGGAGGCAACAATATGAGCAAACGGAAAAGACATTGAAAACATTCAGATATTTAAGGTGGCTGAGGTAATATGCAGTAACATGTCAAATTTTAATTACGTTCATGCTTTATACTAGTTTTCATTCTTCCTATAGGGTGATGGAGATGCTATATGGAAATTTAAGGGGAAGGTGAAAGAGGTCCAATGTGATAGAACTGCACTTATGGAGTCAAATTAACAAACTTAGAAAAGTTTGCACGAGAGAGCAAAGAAAGCCATGAAAAGGTGCATGATTCCATGGCAGAGATGGCTTTATCAATGAAATCTGTGAAAAACTCAATAATCAAAGAGGTAAGACATTTGATTCAATTGGTTTGAAATAGCATGAGTAGGGTGATGTCAATGGCAACAGCACCATGGCATCTTGGGGGCCCAGTGGGTAGGGAAAGGAGTAAAAACTGCTCAAAATTGACTAGAGAAATGTAATTTGAAACTAACCCCTTTCAATTCAATTTTAAGACTATTAGATGAAGATAACAACCAATGCACACTTATGAGTAAAATGAAGCACAGCCTCAAAGATTAGTCCATAAATGTCAACTCTCAACCAAGTGAGATTGGTGTGTGAAAAGGAAAAGGACCTGAGATTGGCTTCTCGATTGTGAGGCCTCATTAGTAGATGAGGTCATTGCTAAATTTATGTGAAACTTAGAAGGGAGGAGTGGAGATCAATGGACAAAAGTTATCAACCAGAGGATGGCTGTTTTTCTATCATGCCTTATGCCTATAATTTCAATATTCATGACTTATTTACTAAGTTTGAGTAGATCCTTGAAAATGACACCAGAGTTTCCAATCTTTGTTAAGGAAGAGTACTAAAATTATTTAATAATTTAGTACATGTGCTTAGGAAACTCTATAAAACATAGGCATAAAGGTAACTTTTTTTCTGGTAATATGTTTTATTCTTTGCTGTTCTACTTTCTGACAAAGTCAACCTCTATTGTGTAGAGAAAAGTCTAAAAGTATAAAAGTTTGATTGTAGGGAAGTGGCAATCTATTTAGTGTAGAACTTCATGTTTTTCATGTCATTTTTAATTTTACTATCATCAAGTTTGTTACAAGGTTGTTTGAAGGGTAGCATACCTTCTGTGCAAGAAATTGAACCTTTTTTAATACAAAATTGATAATATAAACTTGATATAAGATTATTACTTATAACACATATGAACTATTGACGGAGATTTTGAAAAATACAGAAATGGTTTACCAGAGGCTTACTGAAATTTCTACTTAAAGTACATTAATAAGAATCTTACTTGTCCTACTTTTTCAGCTCCTTAAACAATTAAATTTCTAATCCAAACCTATGTCAATTTTTAGCTATAAGATGGATTTTTTGTATTTCATATGATTACACTAAATTTACCTATTATTTGTCTCATGGAGTCTGCATCACCTAACCTCTATTATTCTATTTCTACGTAAGCTTCATGGTATGTCCTATATTATCACAATTGGAAACTACACGTTCAATCACTAGACAAAATAATAGTAGTAACACATTTCCTGCTTGAAAAAGAACTACAACTCGGATGACGAAGAACATCTAGACAACCCTATTACAACGTAATACACAATGCTATCAACTGTAGCTCTCTCCTAAATGCAGGGACATTTACTGCTTCTTTCTACCCCACTAAACTTCGATGGGTAACTTTCTTGGTTCTATTTTTTGGTGCATAGCCTATTGGGTTTTGCTCTTTGCCTATCACTTCAACTACTACTTTCCTATTAAATTTATTTGCATTGATATACCAATTTACTTGGTTTTTGTTATTAGAACACCCTCATGCATTAATTTTCAATTGACCAACCACACAGACTATCAGAGGGATGAATTATTGGTATAAATGTGTTCTCCATAGCTACATGCAACTAGTAAGTCATGCATAGTTAATTATGCGATATTAGGATTTGGCTACACTCCTAGTTTATGGTTAACATTCAATATTTGGATTTAGATCTATAATATTTGTGTTAACATTCAATATGCTGGACTTGTTCACACTAAATATATATAAATTAGTTTTCATCTACTTACTTTTTAAATTTACATATCTATCCACATAGTTTTTCAACTTTATGAAGTTTTTTTAATTCATTAATATTTGGATGTTTTATCACTAATTTAGTCCAATTAAACACTAATTGAAAATTTTCTTCTTCAATATCACTTCAGATTTGGGGTGCCAATTTCTCTACTTCATACACGTGCATCAATCCTTATATTTGCAATTGGTTAATATTTAAACTAATACAATATGATTATTATTTCTTCTAGTTCTTGATTTATTGATTTAAAGAAGTAGTTACCTTCAACATTTCATTACAACGTGATACGTGATACTTGAATCAATTTTACTGCTAAACAATTTTGATTACAAAAAAGAGTTCTTCGAATAATTTGACTGATATTTCATTGTCTCAACTTGGATAATATTACCTCATATATACGTGATCATTATTCCATATCTACCAAATTACTCCTTATCTTATATAGTTTAAGAGAAAATACTTCAAATAAACGAATAAAAATTATTCATATATAGCATTGCATTTAATTGGTTATTTGAAGAAAACTCAAACACTAATAAGTAACTCAATTAATGAAATGACTGGTATGTTCTTTTCAATTTACTGTGTCATATAGAAGAGGGACATCACTTAAATTAAGACTTTGCTATGTATATATATGTATGTACTTATGTATGTGTGTGTGGATACATACATACATACATACATACATATATATATAAATATATATACACACACATATATATGTATACACACATGCGCGCGCGCATATGCACACACATACACACACTATTAATGTTTTAAATAAAAATTTGGACAGTGATTGAATACATCATGCTTTTTTAGTACAAGAAACTAATGTAATTATATTCTGTCAAATTTGGACATTGATGGAATACTTCTTTACTCATTTTGAATTATGTTTTTTGTAATTTATATTTTGTCAAATTTCCCTAGCATGCACCCAACTGTACAAGAAACTAATGTTGCTTATGTGATATGAATATTTTCTTCATCTTGTGTATCTTTTAAGCATCAATTTTTCTATGCTTGTTATATGATTATTCATTTTACTTGCAAAGGTATATTATTCTATTTTTCCTACAATTATTTCTATTTATTTGTTTTTAACATGGCTATTTTTAAATGTTCAAAGAACATGCCTTTTCTCTGAAATGCAGATTCTCTTTTGTTTTTCTAGTATGTGTGTGTGTGTACACATATATGCGTGTGTGTGTGCGCGCGCATGTTCTACGTGATAGTATTTTCTATTTTGTTGGTCTGTGTGAACATGTATGGTTTTGGGGGGGAGGGATGGGTTGGGTGGTACGGGGGAAGGGAGTGAAAGCAAGAGGTCTCGGGTTCGAGTCCTCCTGCTTACACTAAAAAAAAAAAGAAACATGTATGGTTTTGATAATATTTGCATTTGTGTAATGTAAAAGCACTTTATGTCCTAAAAATGTAATAATAACATCATTAAGAATCAAGGCTAATATGATTATATCAATTAAATTTCACATTAATTTGCATGTGGCAATGAACTAGTTATGGTGAAATTTCCAATTTAAAGATCTGTGAAATTTCTTGACTTGAAATTCTAGTGAACGGTCATGTTTGTGTACTGGTGAAGTTCTAGGAGTAAATTGCTCGAGCTCAACCTTCCTTTGCTTTTTGGAGTTCCAACTCTCTCTTTTTTTTCCCATCAAGCTCAAGCTTTGATTCAAGTTTAAGCATAAGCACAGCTATTTTTAATTTAATTGGGGATCAAATAGAGCAATATTAGTTTTTAACTCGACTTGTTGCGCCCTAGAGGCTAGAACAAAGGGGTTATATAATACAACGTAAGCAATTTACTCGTTAGCAATTGAAGTAATGATACAACTTGAAGCATAAGAGGATATTTTGAATCTCTGTACTTGTGCGCGATATATCTGTCTAGCAGCTAAATCTTTGCTTTTAAAATTGATTAACAGGGCATATAAAAATAAAGTACCTTGAACTTTGAGCCCATATTCGCAATTTTGGTTAGCAAAAGTACTAACATGTATTCATTCGGGTAAGATCATGTCTTTGCTTGATAATTTTTTGATGTTAAAGCATATCAAAATCAGGTCTTGGTCCAATCTCTGTTGCAGCTAGTTAGTTAGTTATAGTACCAGAAAGATGAGTTCTGAGATAAAGGCTCTTCAACATTTAAAAAAAAAAAAAAAAAACATACACGCGTCAGAAGTAAGCCATTTACGCAGACTGTACATTTGACATTTTCACACCCAAAATAACGAGCAGTTTGTTTTGTGGTTGCTATGCATGAAAATGTATAGTAAGCTTAAAGCAGCAAATTCACATTGGTCATAAGTGCTACCAGAGTGATCAGCTCAATATTACTATGGTATGATATTCTGATGGCTTTCTCCTATCATTCACCTATTCATTTTGTAAAAGTTTCTTGGTCCTTTCAGGTTTGCACATCTTAGGGCTAAAGTTGCAAGATTATCGTAATTTATTTTCAATTTACCAATATACAGCAAACGGTTTATAACAAAAATAACAGTCTGTAATTTCTTCGAATGATCCAACTTCTCAAACTGTTCTGCACCACCTCAAGAAGATGAAAATAGGGGGATCTCATCTAATTTCTGATACCAAAACACTACAGTTACAATGTGCTAGGTTATAGAGAACAACCTTAGTGTACTATTTTTGTTATTAAAAATCCTAAAACAAAACTGATTTTTTCATTCACAAACAATTCGCTAAATGTAAAAATGTATTGGAGGAAAAAATGCATTGGATCTGGACTGCTCTGGGAAAGCAAATTCCAACGTAAACAAGCTCGATCAAACTAACAACAAAGCAAATCAGGCAGCTGCCTTCGCCAACTCCTTCACCGAGGTAGCTGGTACAATTTGCTGGGGCTGCAAAAGGCAATCCAGTCAGAAAGATTGGAAGCAACAACCAAAATTAGAGTGATAGAACATGACTGGACTGCTATAATAGAGCTCAAGTAGGTTATGCTAGGTCACAGCTCAAATTCTTGAGACATTATGCACTCTAAGATCAAGAATAGATTTGCCACTTTGACGTAGAAATGCACAATCAGCTTCTGGCCCCATCTCTAGTGCTACTAATGATTAATAACATCACCACGACGATAAGTTCCAAAAAAGGTACTTTAACATGGAAGCACCGCATGAGGCACATGTACAATTGACACCAAAAGAAGGCAGTGTCTTTTTCTAGGTTTGCCTTCTCTATGCATGAAAATGTGCAGTGCTTAACCATGATGTGGGGGGTGGGGGTGGAGGGATTGAATAAAATATGGGGAAACAAAATGCTAAAACTATGGAATACGAGTATCTCAAGATCTTACTGCAGCCAATTCCTGTTCATGCTTAGGAATAAAAGCAGTGTCTACTTTTCCATTCCTAAAATCCTGCATTGGCAACATGAAAATTTCAGTTAACAACCACACACCTACAAACTCCAGATAATAAAATAATAGAGCACAATCAATTCATCCAATTTTTGCCTACCTCAACGTCCAGGATAAGTTTGTGGTAATCAATTGTAGTTGGCACCCCTGGGAAAAGGACAGTTCATATGTTAGAACTCTAGAGTTAATGGAAATAAAAGAGAGTACAGTTATTTGATAACTCCAAAGGTCGATCAAACAGTATCCCAAATTTGAAACTTATGGGACCACCAGCAAAATTGCTCAACCATGTCTATGGAAACCAGTGATGGTCAATCTCAACTTTTGGTTCTGAGAAATAATAATCAGTTAGAAGTGAAAGAAAATGAATATAGAGACAGGATAGGACCATGTTGAAGTCCAAATATCCCGTTCCCGGTTAGTCATTTGTTACTCCATTTTCTTGGCTTATAATGAATGTGTTAATCTAGGAAAGGCAAACTTTCCAACCAAATTCATTTGATGTTGGAAAAATGATTTGCCAATCTGGGCAATCGCAAATTGAAGGGAAGAAAAATAAGCTGGAGGATCCCATCTCACCTGTGATGACTGTGTCATCAAGAGCCCTTTTCATGCGTTCAATTGCCTTCTCTCTTGTTGGAGCCCATACGATAAGCTAAATTCACATCAAGCAACATTAAAATTACGGGATAGAGCTATCATGGAAAATGAAGGTGAAGATAACAGACAGCTGAAGTACAATACACAACCATATAATCTCCATATAGCTACCACAGATCATGTTTCTATAATATCATGCCCCACAGCATCCCAAAAAATGAATAACAAATGCTTACTGCAAATCTCAAAAACTAAAACATCCATTCAAGCACTCCCATTCATGCAAAAATTATCCCCAAGTAAATCGAGAAATGTTATGTCTTTGCTATGGCATATAGCATTATAAGCATGCTATGGTAACTATATGTCCACTTTTAGTACCTTTTCACTGGAGCCAAGGTCCTTTAGAAATTTTAGGCTCCATCATTTTTTCCATAGAGAAATGCATAGTGATATAGGCACAAAATAATACCAACATTCATTTTTCGCATCTCATCAACTTAATACAAATTTTGATCAGGGAATTTCCATAAATAGATCATTAATTACCCAAAGAATTACAGAAATTCCCATATTTCAATTTAAAAATTTTATCTGCACACCAGTTTAACCTAGTTCACCCGTTTGAAGCCCACAGAATATACAAATCAATAGGTATGCTTTAAGCCCACTTCTATGGTCTTGCAGTATCTCACATAGAGTGAAATGTATCAAACTTTGGGTTGTTGTGCATCCAATATTCATATTCTTATAGAAGTATCATTCATCACAGAAGTCATGGAAGTTGTAAGCAGGAGAAAAAAAGGAAAGACAAGGGAAAAAGAAGCCATATTGCATTTAAATACAAATACATGATATTTGTTGACTAACCTTTCCAAGCAGGGAATCGTAGCTTGGTGGAACCACATAATCAGGATAAACATGGCTATCCATTCGCACAAATGGACCTCCAGCTGGCAAATATGCAGTTATTCTCCCTGTTTTTAATAGATATGCACATCAATTTTTCGAGCTTCCCTTAATTTAACAAATGTTGAACACAAACTAAACAACCGGTCAGGACAAAAGTATTTATCTTATATAAGAATACTTGCCACATTTAACAACTAGAATGATTGAACCCCTGTGACAAACAATAAAGCAAAATAACAACATTCTACTGAATGATTCATCAAATTGATATTTCCCAATTCTTCCACATATATATAACATCCATCAGCAGCTAATTGTACAAGCCATGTCCTAACAATTGAAAAATTACATTTGCAAAATAGGCTTTCAGTTGGATCATCAGAAGGTAGGCTACGAATGGGAAAACCTAATGACTCCTAGAAGTCTTAAATTGGGAAAGACTCCATAAAGCTTATTACTACTGTTTCGCTTCAACCAAAGTTCATTTGGTGAGCAAAATTATTCAACATAAGTGCATCTAAACTTCAGAAAATCCCTACCAGGCCCAGGTCGGAAGTTTTTGAAAGCATCTTCTGCATTTATACGACATTCAATTGAGTGTCCTCTCAACACAATATCCTCCTGTCAACAATGAAAAACATTAAGTGGGAATAAATACTGAGTCTTATGTATTATACTTTCTGTATTTGTAAAGCCATAACTCGTGCCTGCTTGTAACGAAGCTTCTCTCCCATAGCCACACGAATTTGTTCTTCAATCAGGTCCACAGAAGAAATCATTTCTGTCACTGGGTGCTCCACCTATGTTTAATTTAAAATAGATCATACAATTCCCTAATATAATACTTCAGTACAAATTTGATAAAATGCCGAAGTGCCTTTTCCCACCTGAATTCGAGTATTCATCTCCATAAAATAGAAGGAACCCCTTTCATCCAAAAGGAACTCGACAGTACCAACGCCTATGTAACCAATAGAGGCAGCTGCAGCAACTGCTGCATCACCCATGGCTTTCCGTAACTCTGCTGTCAATGCAGGAGAGGGTGCTTCTTCAAGCAGCTTCTGGTTTCTTCTCTGCATAAATACACAAATAATCAGTTGCACTCATTCCTCCAACTAGCTATGTTAGTTTTCAAGAAACGTCAGCAGAAAAACCATTTTGCCAAGAAGCAAACTTGTCCAGATTTCACTTAATTTCCATTATACCAACAAAAGTAGAAATGAACTAAGCTATGCACACAAAAAAAGTCCAAAAAACTTAGATGCACCCATAGGTTAATATTATTAAGAAAAAAATGGTTTGATGAAAAAAGGAACCATAATAGTTAAAATTTTGGTTACATACTAACGCTGCACTACTGAAACTTAAAAATTAGCTGGCTTTACTTAAGTCCTTAGAGCTACAGCTTGATTGTGCAGATGTGTAACACACAGTTCAATGATGGATTTATCAGTTTTGAGTTTTTCTGGAAAGTGAAATGAAATATGAGGACACCAGATTATGAAAGTATTTGCATCAAACTAAACATTGCAGGAGCTGAGTAGGCCTTGGTCTAGGGGCTAATATTGAGGACCTAGGAATTAGAGGACCTAGGGTCAAATCCTCCCATACCTGCTTCTATCCCACCCTTCCCCTGATAAAAAAAATTAAAAAAATAAAAATTGCAGGTTAATTTGGACCATGGAATGTTGGTAACTAAAACCCTTTCCACAAAAACTAAGGTCTTGAGTTTGCAAACCTTGATCTTTCTTTGGACAGCTCCAGTTGATATTTTTAGCCTCACATTAACAAACATACAGCAAAATTACCTGGATACTGCAATCACGTTCTCCAAAGTGCACAACATTTCCATACTTGTCTGCCAAAACCTGGAAAACCAAAAGACAAATTCATGTGAATCTAACATTTTATTAACTGCAGCATATGACATAAATCAAAAGCAATGGGATCTTTTTTATTTTTTTGGGCTTATAGTTCTACAACCACTTAAAAATTATGTACTTAATCAATGAAAATGGAATACAGACAAGAGGAGAGATAAAAGTATGTTTTCACAAGCAAAAAAATTAAATATGCTTCAGTCAAGATACACTGCAGGTTCTTATGGAGATGAGAATAATAATGATCTTGCTACTACGCCAGGTTACAAAAAGAAGTCACTGCAGGCCCTTTGCAGTGACCTTAGTACAACATAAAACCGAGATAAAAACCCTGCATCATAGACTGATAAAGAGCCAATACGATTCAGAAAACAAGCAACGATCAGTTTTTGTTATTTTTTTATTAGCTTTCTGATTAAAAAGAGACAGCAAAGACACAACAATAGTCAGCAGTAGCTAGTGACATGATTATCTTGCCGACGAGAGAAATGACAGAACACCTCTATTTTGTAGCACCATAACCTCAAATCTTATTGGGCAATTTACATGAAGTCCAAATCTCGATATCAAGTGTAACAATACGATTGAAATGGAAATCCGGTTAACTGGACTAATATACCTATGCTACAATTAGTTTGTTAATATAATTTCAAGCCTTGTAACTTTGATAAATCTCCATGTAGTTTGGAGCTCATATCAGTGCAATAGACCATTTCCATTTGGAAAAACGCATTGAATAGCATATTTGAACAGCAAATGAATCACCAAAATAACTAAAGCATGTTACTTACTAGTTGGAAGCAAAGTTAAGAGAGTTTTTACAAGCCTTTTCTTCCTCTGTATAGCTTAGATCTTTAGATGCATTTCTGCGTAACTTCTATTTTGGATGATACCATGAAATATACATTTTTAAAATATGAAAACTAACCATTCCTTGAGATTTGAAACATCTCGAAGTTCTCTCATGCTTCAGATACCACAGGTGTTAAAACATTATCTATCCCTTCATATCCTCTAGGAAGAACTATAAACCATCAGATGTTTCCCCAACTTCCCGTTGTTCTATGAAAGATACCCTATATCCTTTGGATAATACTATTAACACACTTTTGAACAGTAAGTGGATATGACCAATAACATGTGCTCTTTTACAGGGCAAGACTAGAAGCAAACCTAAGGCTGCTCCACTTTGGTCTGGACTATAGCAAATTTGAGGTTTTGAGGAATTCTTTGTCAGGCTATACTGAGAGGGCTTCCTTTATTCCATGACAGGAGGCATGTGCACTTTTTTTGTCCCTCTTAGCTGCAAATATTCTTCTTCTTCAAGTATAAACTTCATTAGATAAGTTGCGAAGCAATTATAGGGAATATAAAAATAGAGGTGGATTGGATAACCACGCTTCGGGCTGATTAGCAATCACATGTGCCACATTATTCAGCATTCTGTTAGCCCCATGAAACTTCATTACTAAAAGTATTACCAAGATGTTCGTTTTAGTGCAATTCAATTAGGTAATTAAGCTTACAAAAAACTAATTATCTAACAACATTTACAGGATTGGTTCTACTATATGCTCTATCAAGTTTATTCAACACTCTAACTTGAATAATTCCACCAGTGATAATTCGATAAGCTCCAATGCCCTTAAAAGGGTTGACATTGTAATGCAGAAAAACTTGCATCCATGGGCATCAGGTCCATCTATCTTAGCATCATCTCACGAAGCATGAGCAATAATAGTAAAGAACACAACATATTCTTTATTTAACCAGGTTATTATAATTTCAGATCTACGCTCAAGATCTTAATGAATGACAATTTAAGAAAATTAAATCAAATGATAGTACCTGAAATTCAATGTGCCTTGGATTCTGAATGTACTTTTCCAGATAAACACCATCATTGCCAAATGCAGCTGCAGCCTCGCTCTTAGCTTGCTGTCAGACCAGAAAAACCAATCCCAAAAATAGATGAGGGCTCAATTACAAACCCGATAAGAGCTACCTATCAACAAAGTCAAAGATGCTCTGCCAGAAGAACAAAATCAGTGTGCCTATATTCTTGTGCATTTGCACGAACTCTGAAATTCAGAGCTTCATCAATTAGAACAGAAAATAAGCAAAGACTATTGCAAGAAAGAAAAATCTGACTATACAAAGTGAAGGATAACAACTAACAACATAGCAATTTGCAGGATGCAGAACTGAAAATAATATCTTTAAAGGTAAAATTTTTGACATATGATGGTAGATGCTCCTTCTGTCAGAAAATATACATTGCACTTCAAGATTGAATCTTTTGTGAACAGTCTACAGGTTAACAGACAGCACTTCAATTCCCACTTCAAACATTAAGAAAACTACTTGCACAATGAAATCTCTAAGAACCACATATTGGGTTAGTATGCATCAAACGAGGAGCCAGGACCTCTATGTAGGGGTGCAATGATTTATTAAATCAATTAGTTAGACATATAAAATTAATTAGATCATACAATGGCTAACTTCTAATAACACACTCAAACTAAAAATCCCAAGTGTTATTGTTTCACTAAATATATGATGAAAACTATGCTGAATGAAACCAAATAGTCAAGTGTATCAAATGATGTGTGGTGCAATTAGCTCAATGTTGCTCAGCCAGTGGCAAGCACACAGAATCTTTCAATTAAGTCACCAAAACTGGAGACTACACTTTCTTGCGCTTAACCATAAGCATGTTTCAAGCAAAATCAATGTAGGAAAGTACCTGCAATAACTTTACAAACTCATCAGGCACTTTAGCAAGACGCATTCCTCTTCCACCACCACCAGCTGTAGCCTTCAAGCATAATGTACAAAGAAGTCATGCTCAAAGACTTTACACGCATTTGCAATTCATTTCACTTAAACATGCATCTCATAACCATTTAGGGCAAAAATTTCAACTCCAGGGAATCAACAATGTTACATTCTAAGTGTTCTAGGTTTTCAATATTTACATTTATTCCACATGTATGCTGCAGCCAAACAAAGCATAGTCGTAATTCTTTCAACTCAATCTGCTAAAGCTTGATAAATTCTGAAGTTTCTGGTTTTATACATAAGGGAAAAATGACACTGCTTTTTTACTCTATTGCGGAAGTCTTTTGTTTCTTTCCATGAGTAAATCAGCAAGTATGCTGGCAGGCAAAAACATAATCTGACAACTTAGAGGATGCGTATTTGATTCACAATCTCACAAGAAACGCGAAAATAGTTTTAGTATATGTTTAGTCTCAGGATAGGGCTTTTCTCAAGCTGTGCTCAGTTGAATCCAAATTTCTAATAGGATTAACTTCTACAGTTGATATTACCATAAAATAGGTCAATAGTAAAAGACATAAAAGAACAGATAAGCACATCCTAAATGCAGTATCTGTATTCCCAAGAAAGAAATCATCAAGTTATTAATGCAGTAACAGGTACAAGTCAGTCAACCATTGCTGCATCTTTATACTCTGGAATTTTTTTCACTTGCAGTAATATATGACTTACAAAAATCTGACAAATACTCATAAATTCATCTTCTAATTTGCATACATCTACAAACAGGTATATGTATATAAATATGTACACAAACACACAGAGATAGGGCGCTACATACATGCACATAATTGTGCATCTGAAAAGTTGAAGTATAGGATTACCTTGATCATTACAGGGTAACCAATCCCTGCAGCGAGCCTCACTGCTTCTTCAGTACTCTACCACAAGAAAAATTTATTTGAGGTTCAAAGAGATGTAAATGGTAATACTGCTACTTATGTTATAAATAAATATAACCTATCATTTTAAAGCAAGAAATGGTACTCGAACCAAATACCTGTAACAATCCATCACTTCCTGGTACAGTTGGAACACCAGCATTCTTCATTGTATCTCTTGCTGTTGATTTGTCACCCATGACTCGGATACTGTCAGGCTGCAAGACACTTTGGAATAAGCAATCTAGTCCTCTAGAAAAGGCCTGGACAGAGATTTCTGAAGAAGCTATTTTAGATGCATTGTAAAAATCTAAATTAGAGACCATAAAAGGTACAATTTATAATGTAAACACAAAAAGAGTATTCACAGTGAACTGCGCACAACAGCATAGATGTTGAAATCCATCCTTAAGACATCTCTGCTACTAAAAACAGGCAAATAGGGGCCAGTCTGAGTTTGTACATCTAGAAATGCCTATTGCTTGTTAGATCTGGAAAAGAAAAACTGCCAAGGATGTTAATTTTATTAAGTCTATTTCCTTCCTTATTTTATTTTAAAATTTTTCACTAAGCTCCTTCCCTTTTGTCTCATGCCTTGGATCGATGCTTCTTCTGAGTAATTCATGATGCCTTTGTCATCATACTTAGCAGCAATGTATTTAGCATCGCAAGGGAGTTGCGGCTAAAAAAACAAGGATCTCCTGTTTTTGGAGTGTTTTTCAAAAACTAATTTTTCAAATACAATAAAAGTTACAACAAAGTACTCTAAAAGATAATCTAAAAATTAGTTTAAAATTTTTTAAAAATTTACCAAATATCTCAAAATAAAATGCCAATAAAAAATATTTCAAAATATTTTCTAAAAATATTTTAAAATATACTCTAAAAACTCTGCTACAGCAAAGTTTTTCAAAAACACCCCCAAAAACAGCTAATCCAAACGGAGCCTTTCTAAATTAGGAGTAGCAGTCTATTCTACTAAATTACCACCCCCTTTACTAGATTTCACGCTTATGCCATCTGAAGAACACGATTACCTGAGGTTGCGTGTAGTAAAAGGCATCAACTGGTTAAGCTACAATGAGTCAGTATTTAAAGAACACACCATCACGTGCAGCAGTCTATTCTACTAGAGTGCCAACCTTTTTCCTGGATGTTTGACATCTATACCATCTGAAGAACGTGATTCCTCAAGTTGAGCATGGTAAAAGGAATCAATTGGTTAAACACCTTAAGAGAGTATGATTAGTACAGCAACAAACAGCCTTTAGGTTAAAAGCATAAGCTACATTTAGATATTACCAGCATTAACAAGGGCTCGTTTGAACAAATTAATCACGAGTACTAAAGCACAAAATATTTCTCTTAGTATATAGGCCACCTACGACAAAACTGCTTCACTAAGTTGATTTAGTATCATCAGATTTATTGCCAAGTCCCATCTTTCTCATCCAATTATGTGAGGTTGTCAAAACATAAAGCATGAATTATCAGCATTCCAAATTAAAACAATTTATTCCAGATTAAGACAAAACTTAATACACTTCATTTTCCATCTTCTTAAGAACTTACATTTGGCCCAATAAAATTGATTCCATGTTCTCTGCACATCTCAACAAAAACAGCATTCTCAGCTAGGAAACCATATCCAGGATGCAGCATTGTACATCCACGACTAATAGCGGCAGATAATACATTTGGGATCAATAAGTACCTGCAAGGACATCATGAAGGAAATGAGTATGACAATACCAGCAAGATTATACTGCAGTACTAGAATCATGGTCTTTGGAAGCCAAAGAGGTTACAATAGAAGGTGATATCCAATCATATGAAGTAGAAGGTGATATTGGATCATTAAGATTAGAAAACCCCCAAGTACAGTTAAACAAGGCAGACTCGCAATTAAAGGACAACCCTGTTAGTCAACCTTAAGTGTTAATTTTTCTCCACATCCATTCTTAACCATACCCTCAGTAGCTGTTCTATTAGTTAAAACTCATCCAAGTAAACCAATCTTTTAGTCTCCCTGAAGGCAAATCAACTTTATCTTATATTTCTTCTATAAGTCCCAACTTCATATGTTGTCATATCATATTTTGCCGTGTCTAGCTGGATAATACTAAATCAACTCAAAATTGCCTGTCACCAAGCAAAGGTGACTAAAAGGCAAGCTAGATGGAGACTTTGCTACTAATACTTTGATTCACCAATTAAAAAGTTCTTCAGCTGCTTGAGTATTTTACAGTATTCTAGCTAGGTAATTAGGAACTGCTTCTTCATCGGAAATTGAAGTACCTTGCTGATACAGCATATCTCTTGGAATTTCCTTATAGGTTGGACTAAGAAGTTGGTTTGAACTTCAACTACAGATTAACTGTGAAAGACTACAAACCAGGGTGTATTTCAGCATGCACCAACTTTTTCTGCTGCAGTAATTAATATGATCATGACTGATATAAAGTGCATCTTGCCACATGCAGATGAACAAGAAGGATGAAGGATAACAGGATTCAGCAATGGAATGAGAATTTGATCCATGTATAATCACTTGCATTAAGCATTGTGCAAGCCATTTTTTTGTCTTTGATGTATAGGACCAAGTTGTATCTAAGGTGTTAACTTATCTTGCAAACTGCAAAATTCCAAATCTCTAAATTACAGAAATAATTTTATTTTTTGAATAAAAAGAAACCAAAATAGAATTAGTCAGTTTACAGTACTCTGTCTAGATTTAACCATAAAACAATGTTCTTTTCTTGGTTTATGGAGCCAAGCAAGTAGGGTGGTGGTTGGGAATTCAAAGAAAGGACAGTCACAAATTTATAGAAGAACCATCTCCAAGTCCCAATGCCTAGGTAGAAGTGGTCAATCAGAAAATATTCCTCTGAGAGAAATTTCTAAATCTTCAATTAAGGTTGGGAGTACAGTTATCTGTACAGTCGAGGTCGTATTTCCTGTTTGTGAAATCATGAGCATGCCAAAAAGAATTGTAGCTTCAGCCCCCAAGACATCCTCACCTTGGAGTAGCACTCTCACATTTCTGAAAATCTTCAGCATACCAAAGTTAAGGTAGCATCTACCAAGGCAAATACACCTTACCACTGGAAACTCTAACCGCGTATTACATAAGCTATCTGAAATGTTTTACCTCCTTTTAAGTAATTAGGTAAAGGACAGGTCAAATATGCTGTGTTACACGCTCATAGTAAATATGTTCTGTACTGTGAATCAAGCAATAGCATACAAATGACTTCCATTTAAGACTACCAGAGCTTCTGATATGAAACCGCTTCTAACTATCATAGTCACCCATGTTCATTTCTTCACCATTTCAAAGCCTATTTTCATTTTGAAGTAATACACAAGGCATTTTTTGGACATCATTTAATGGAGGATCTTCTAAATTTCAGTTTACAACTCATTGCTTTGCTAATTCCTAGAGGTAATACAAGAATAGGCAGTTTGCTTGGTGGAATTTGAGAAGCTAGATTTAAGAAATAAAAGTGGTATAGAAATCAGAAGAGATTGTGAGAAGAAGTAACAGAAGTGGAAGGTGAAAAGAAGAGATATTGCTTCACAGCTAAAGAGAGAAGGATTTTCATTCTTAAATTTTCTAGATCTTTGTATTTTGTGACAGCAAAGATGACAGAAAAATACAACCACCCACATATTCATTGTGACAAGGACCAAACCCACACATGGTGTGACAAATATCCAGCTAAGCTAACTACATAGGGCTGTTAATATGGGGTTGTACCGACAACTAGGCAGCCAGACACTTTACAAACCAACTGAAACAAGAAATGAAAGAACAAATAATGAAATATACAGCAAAATCAGAAACAAACCAGAGTGTCAAATCCTAAATCATGTCTAGATAAATCATCATCTAAAGTCCTCCACCCCCCCCCCCCAGGGGGGGAGGCAAAAAAAAAATTTATCTCAAATACAGCTTATCTAACTTGCTTACTTAAATACAGATCACAAAGGATTATTATCAGCTAAAAATGCATGAGGAATAACACCTAAGTACTTTAGACAATAAGAAATTGATACTCCTACTGAACATCCCCAATACACATACACAACTAGACAAGACAATGAGGCAACTTTGTCCACACATATTTGGCAGTCTGAAAAAATGAATAATAAATCAGGCACGAATTGGCTAAAAACTGCAAAAACTTTCTTTGGAATTGGTCAAAAACTGCTGAAACTTACTAATTCACTACCTCATCTAAGATCGTAAGCTGTAAGCATGGACAAAATATTTTCTTAATACAAACCCCCATGTGCAGGCCCAATTCAGACTTGGCCAAGGCATGCGTACACAACATAACTGGTTTCACCAAAACAGTTATCATCTATATAATTAATCTACTTTCCAGGACACCACTAGGGTCCCTAACTAAAATGCTCATCATGATGCGAAGCTCAGGACAAATTTTGCATAGAGTTAATTTGCAAACATGAATTCACAGATGAGATGAGACCCAGACCCAAAGTAGTACGAATACTTGGCAAGTTGGGACTTGGATCAACAATTGGGTAAAAATAGATCTAACGATCATCTGAGGTAAATCCTTGAGAACTCTATCAAGAGAATTGCCAAGATCTAGGAGTTGATCAAAGACAAACGGAAACAATCAATCTACTATTCTCTCTCTCTTTTTGATGCGCTCTCCCATTCATATCTTCTGAAACTGTATATCCCCTATAAATATATATTTAAAGAGGTCTAAAACTTAACGCTCTTCTTCACTTTCATCATAACTTAAGATTCTTGCACATTCATGGATTGTATTATACATCATATAGCCAGAGTAAACAAAATAAGGACGGATTTGAGTTAGAATCCTCTAAATTGGGCTGAAAGAAAAACAGAAAACTAAGACTTCAACAAAGAAAATCCTATCAAAACATTGTAGTGTACAAATGGTTGCTTACTCCAATATAATCATAACATCAGGACCCTTATTGTTTCTTCTTATAGTTTTTAGTTCATGAGCTGGTTGGTCCTCCATCAATCAGTCGAAAATGGACTCACATAACATCATATATATAACTCTAGAGGTTTTATACTTTCAGCTCAATATAAGAAAATGAGGACAGCAAAATATCTTATTAAACCTAAACATATGAAACCATAGAAACTTCTAGAAACATTCTTGGAGGAAGCATGTGGAGCAGAGAAGTAGAGATTCAACACAAAATTCTTTTTTTGTTGTCCCCGGGAGGGAGGGTGGGATGGAAGAGAAATGTAGACTGTAACACCTTCCTACATTTTGTGTGTTATTCTACATTTTCTAAGCAAAAATGGAAAGCTCATTGAGGAAAGCAATGGGGTTAGAGTGGAACACAGTAAGCTAACATATAATCAATGGACAACAATAGAAGTGTTTTTCACAAGGACATGAATAAGCTCAAGATGGTTAATGATCTATGCAGTACCTGCAGCTATCACCTATGTCACCTGGGCTCGGCTAAGGTGTCCCACAGAAACGGCTACTCTAGCATAAAGTGAAGGGTCAATGATGGGTACGGCAGGGTAAAGTGAAAAGTCATGGAACATACACTGCCACAAGGATTTTTGGTTTAAGGTATCATGACTTGCAAAGTATGGACATTGATTTTGCATTGAACTTGTATGTTCACATTTTATTTCCAACATGTTGAAAATTCAGTCATGATAATAAGCAGTAAGCAGCAAAGAAATAAAGATAAAATAAAATAAATCAGCAACTCTTTCTTTCAATCATGTGATAAATAACGAAGTAGGCATTCATCAAAAGAACTTACGATTGACTGCTGGGAGCTTCTCCAATGCAAACTGACTCATCGGCCAGTTTAACGTGAAGCGCATCCTTATCTATGGTAGAGTAAACAGCAACACAAGGAATTCCCATTTCATGTGCAGTTCGAATGACACGAACGGCAATTTCTCCACGATTTGCTATCAGAATTTTCTCTGCACGACATGTAGTGGCAAGAGCCCCACCACTTTTTCCAGATTTAGAAACAAGCCGAGAAGCTTGAGCAATCTGCCGAGGGAACTGCACCTTATTTCCTACCACGAAGCTACACTGGGAGCTCCTAATGCCTCTTGTTGTCCCCAGGAATAAACCCTAAGATGAAGCAGCAGCAGCAGCAGCACTATCAAGTCAATTCGTGTGATCCAAGAAAAAACATAAAAAGTGAACTAACAAGGCGAACCAGCATCATATCAGTCCCAAACAAATTTAATATGCCAAAAACGCAAACAATGCATTTCCTTGATGCGTAAGTTCCAAACTAAATACAACTCTTCTAATGAATTTGCTCAAATTACAGACTTTTCGACCAATTTAATGAAGCTGCATTCTGCCGCACTAAATAAATCACCTCCAACGTGCTAATATTAACCTTGACTTGATTTATTACTCGAACATTCATGTGATTAAAGAAAATGTTACATTTCAGAAAAAAAAAAAAAAAAAAAAGGTCAAGTTTTCACAACGATAACCAGCTCAATTTCAATAATCCAACCAAGAAAAAGGAAAAAGAAAACACAGATAGACAGAACATGGGGGTCTGAACTGATCCTAAGAACAGCAGAAAACATGCAACTAGCCCATTAAAGGAAACCCCATAATTGGGAATAAACAAATAACAAGAAAGGTAGAAAAACAAGAGTGGAACTCACAGGAGTAGAGCGAGTTGAGCAAAGGGATTTACTGCAAACAGAAGTCATAGCTGCAGAATCCATTCTCTGATCACCCACAATTCAAGTTCTTCTTTCTTCTAAATCTTTCAAAGGGGAAAAAATACAAGGAACCCACAAAAAAGCAAGAACGTGTTAGCAATTTGGGAAATCAGAGCATTGTAACGTAATGCAGGAAGACGAAAATGCCATTGAGTATGCTGAGATCTGTAATCAATGAGAGCATACCTTAAGATAATGTAATGCGTTAATTTGTTTGATAAAATTCCTCAGAGAAAGAAAGAGAACGAAGGAATAATAGATTATAGGAAAAGTATGAAGAAACGGGTTGGGGGATGGGGGGAGGTTGGGGAAGATTTGAAGAGATTGGGTGTCGATGAAAACGAGGCGTTGTTGGAGAGGAGAGCTTATTTGCTAGTTGCCACATATTGAATGCTCCGCCAAAGGGGTTTGGACCTTCCGGGGCTGCTCCTTTCTTTTTTTTTTTTGCTTATTTATTTTTTTGGGTGCAGTTGCAAATGAATGCATGAAAATTAGCTGTACAAATATGTGAGGACTCGCAAAATTACCTATTTTAAATTCTTATTACTAGCTTATTTAAATATTTAATTACCTGTTTGCTTCGAATATTTTATTCCACCCATTTTGGACCCAATTACATGGAACTATGACTTACATATATTTTTAAAATGACTTGTTACAAAATTTAATTTTTGGAAACTCGTCTAGTGAGAATAGTGAATACACGTTTGGAGGCAATAATCGATTGAGGGTACAGTGAGCTTAGAGATTGAAAACTCATACATTAGTTTTAAAATAGTTATTTTTATATTTAAGTACTCAAGTATTAGTTAGTAATATTATCGTTGTGAGAATTTCATAGAAATTTCACTCTATCGCGCACAAATCGGAAGTACGCGTTTTCGCGCGCACGATTAATCGAGGGACTTTAGACCTTTATTTATAGATTATTAAGAGTGAATAATAATAGTATCAATGGAAGTGCACTAGAGGTTTAGTGCACAAGTAAAATAAACCCAAGAGGAAACGAGCACGAATCGCGCGCGTACGCGTACTATTCCTAGTTGACTTTTGGAGTAATTGTGGCCACAAACTCTTAAGCTTCTCAAGGAAGCCTCAACCATCAGCCAACAACTCTCCTTTCTCTCCCTCAAGCAGCCGTGCAACACCAAGGAGAAGAAGACCAAGTTTCTTCGTCATTTCACCTCTCAATCTTGCACCAAATCCTCTCAAATTCATACCACACCTTACAAATAACTTGGAGATCATCTTAGGCTAGGAGAAGAGCTTCATTCTCACGGTTTTTCTTGGAGCTCTAAGGACCGAAATTTCTGCTCTAGCAACATTTAGGAGGTAATGATCATCCACCCTTTAAATCTTAGATTTTGTAAGTTAAATTACACTTAGAAGCTTTTAGCTTCATGTGGGTAGTTTTGGATTGTTGAAAATCATGTGAGTGGGTTCTATGAAATTCCACAATGGACTTGATGATCTGATTTGATGAGTTTGGATGTTATTTATGTTGATTAAGTGCTAATATAGTGGATTTAAGTTGAAAAAAGTGAAAAGAAAATCAAAGGAAGTGATGCATGTTGAAGGGCCGAATCTGCCCTGTCATTGCCACGCCTCTTGGTGCAATTTTTTGTGGTCCAATTGACTTGATTTTGATGTAGATATGTTGTATAGGTTGTGTGGAACGTTTCCACCAAAGATCACCTGAATTGGTTGGGGAAAAGTTGTGTTTTCGAAAATTTTTCATGGCTGGAAAACGTGTCCAAAGTTGCTCTGACAGCGAATTTCAAATGATTATAACTCTTTGCTCCAATGTCAAAATCGAGTGCTGTTTGTGGCATTAGAAACTAGACACTTCCAGTTTTCTAACGGTATAAAATGCATCCCCCAATTCCACTTGAGTGAACCGTACGAATCTTTCAAAGTTACCTGTCCTGTTTCATTGCTGCTTTAGAAAACCTGTTATGTGCTGTGACTTGTTGCTCGAATTTGAGTTAGTTATGGACAGAATTTCAAAATGATTTCTTCTGAGAAATTGTAACCCTATGAACGTAGTTTCCAACGCCTCCACACGTCCAATTTCAAGTTGAATTGAGTAAGTTATGGCCGAATTACAGAACTGGATCAGAGAAAGAAAACCCTAATTTTGGGTTAGCTAATGGCTTATTTCGAATTGGGACTTGTTATTTTGAAACTTTTGGTGTTAATCACCTACCAAATATATGCTGGATGTTTCTTAGATTTTTCCTTCATAAATGAACCAGATTTGAGTCGATTTCATTGGCCAAAAGTTAGAAAAAGGAAAACGGAAGTACAAGGCAGATTTGCCTTGGAAATCCTTAAAAATTTAGTGGCTTTGTTAACTGACCTTCCGTGCGAATTTTTGCATGAAATTTGACAGAGGGGTAACCCTTATGTGGTAGTGTAATCATACAAATTTGGTGCCATTTCAAGTCCATGTCGATGCCCAACTGAAGTCCCAAAATTTATGTTTCAAATCTGGAAAATTGCTCAATGGTCTTCATTTTGAACCAATTTTGAGCTGCTATATCTTGGCGCTCAAAACTCCAACTCTTATTTCGTTTGCTGTGTTTTAAACTTTGATTGTAACTCTAATTAAGTTTCAAATTTGAGAGGCTAGTTCACATTTTGTGAATTTTGCCGAATTTCCAAAATTTGCCAAAAATCAACCCCGAATCTGTCTTAGAAGTGCAAGTCAACAACTTTAAACCGAAATTTGAGTGTCTTCCATTTTGAATCATGGAAAAGTATCTTCTAGGAACTTTTAGTACTTTGGAAGTAGTTTCCATAGGTACCAAGTTATCCATTTTTGGACCTACTGAGTGCAAGATATGATTTTTCTAAATTTGACACACAAAGCTGAATTTTGCCAATTTCTTAGAAAATGCAATTTCGGGACCTTGACTTCTTTTCTCGATATAGATTGAACGTTTTGAACTCGATTTCATGGAAGATGCTAGTCTCTCTTCGGACATTAAAACTTCACTCTTAAACCTCGAGTTAAGAGAATTGAAGCTCTCTTTTAAGACTTTGATTTAGTCTAATTGAGTGTGCATCCTTTCTTGGTAAATGCATGATTGTAAGTGAAGTTAATTATTATTTGCTCAGGCGCTCAAGGGGACCTTCAAGAGGAATTCGAAGCGAACGCCTAAACACTTGTTTGAGCACTTACTCACTTGTTTTGAATAGGTGGGTGTTCCATATAGGAATACATGATTTGAATAGCTTTATGACATGTTTACTCCATGATCATTATGTGTTTAACTGCTAAGTGCATATTTACGTGAAGTGTTTCAATGATTGATTATTCTATGACTGCATAAGTCGATTGGAGTAAATCTTCTCGACTCTTAAGTGGTAAAAGTGAGGGACCGCCAATGGGTGGCTTACTAAAATGATAAATGTCTTCCAATTAACCGTGATTACTTACCGTTTACCGATTTATTTGATTACCTGCTTACTTGATTACTTGATTATCGTAACTTACGTGTTCATATGAAATTACCGCATATTTCTTATGCATTCAAGTGTTAAGTGTTACCTATAATTGCTCCTATAAAAATTGTCCACCATTTTATGACGAGTGTGTACTTTATCTCACTCGACCTACTAAAATGATAAATTTCTACCGTTTAACCGTAAATGTCTACCGATTAACCGTCAATTACTTACCGTTTACTTATTTACTTGATTACTTGCGCATATTGTAAGTTCTAAACTGAATTGGATCCTACCCTTGGTTACTAACCTACTCGAGTCAGGACTGGGTTCGGTCGGCTAGGTTGGAATCCTGGACCACTGTTTCGGTATATTCGAGTATTACCACTGGAGGGATAAGGTGATGGTCAGACAAACCGAGGGAATCTGGAGTTATAAGGTGAAGTTGACCGAAATGGTTCCACTGGAACACCGTATCCTTCAATGTGTGTTTATTTTTGTATACGGATAACTGTATCATGTTAATGTGTCAAGGTGCAATCTTGAACCATGCTTGTGTTATGCTCAAATTACTCGTACAATGATAACTATCTCATGTTAATGTGCCAAATATGCAACCTTGAACCATACATGTGGTATGTTCAAATTATTTGATTTATTAGAATTGTTAGAGTGTCTTGGAACCGCACTGGATTGTGTAGCTCATTCCACGTTTTTGTTTTTCTTAATAGGATTCGAGACTAAGAGTGCTCGTGAATGGTACTAGATTATTTTCTTTTGAAAATCTCAAGTTGTATTATAGCGGATGGTTGTAGTACATACTCTTTTGGATTGTATTAAGCTTGAAAGCTAATTAATTGTAAGCATGCAATATTTTGGAGTACTTTAATTATATATTGAAGTTATTTGAAGTATTTCGAGCTTTCAAATTGTGGATTGTAGCGAGTCCTGGCGAGAGTTGGGCAAGCGTCTCGCGGATACCCTTTGGTTCGCCTTAGGGAGAAGTGGAGGCGTCATAATTGGTATCAGAGCTTAGGTTTCAGATCTTTGTAGTGTATCTTAGGTTTAAAAGTTTAAGATGTCGGACTGTGGGACTGGTTTGAAAGTTAAATGACTAATTGTAGGAATGAAAATCAGAGCCGCTTCGCGTGGTCTCTGCGCGAGGTGAGTTTGGGCCAAGTGATGTTATGGTCCTTATTATGTGAATGAGTAAAGACTTAAGTGCTCTTCTAGAGTGAAACTATGGATCATGAATATGATAAGTATAAACCCTTATCTTGATATTTGGAAAAAAATTAGATATGTATGTTGGGTAGAAATCTCAAATGTGGTGATTTACTCTTGGTACCGGCCGGCTCGAGTTGTGAATTACCTTGTTACGGATTCTTATACCCGAGTACTTAAGAGTTGAGGGCAATACTAAGGATTTGAGATCTCCATTTGTGGGAATAAGAACGAATCGATATTTCACGTGAATAGTTACAGAAAACCAATAATCGTTTGGCTAAGATGGCACAATAATTAAGAGCGGGAGGTGGAGAGAATCGTAGCCTAGAAAATCCTGGTGTTGGTATTGAAGTTGAACGTGTTGGGGAACGGGAATCACCTAGTTCCAATTAATCTAGTGAAGCACTACTTGTGAACTTTTGTAATTGGATGATAGGAGTAGAACTTAAGAATTTGTGCCTTGGAGATGAATGTACTTTTAATGATCACCTGTTTACTTTGTTTACTGACTTTGACTTGGTATGAACTTTACTTGACTATAACTTGTGTTATGATTTAATGAGCTCTAGTTTATGTTTACTTATATGGTGATAATGTTATTTGTGTAAGTGATTTCATTTTTCTTTAAAAGTTGTTACTGGTATGTGTATGTAGTTCAATTATGACTTAGTGTGAGATTTATGCATATGCATATAGATTAGTTGTGAATATAAAAACTA